TGGAGAATTCAGAGGGAATTCAGGAGAATGAACGAGCTGTGTGTGGTGGGGGGGTGCTTACAGATCACGCTTGAAGTACCAACATGGGAGAAATTCTGCTCCATGTGTCTAACTTACAGTGTTTGCAACACAGGCTGTAGATAAAGGGAAAAGTTAAATATGCAGGCTGGTTTCTTTGACATTAATGTCCCTTCTGCATTAGGATGGTTCTTGCAAACATGTGGGGTTTTAATATGAAAATTAGCTTAACAAGGGGAATACTGAACTATTTTGAAATCTGCTTGCATTTTCTATGCTTCATTCCACATGAGAGAGAGTTCTATGTACACCCAGTAGAAGGCACACTGAAAAAGATTGTTCCCCTAATAATGTTAGACAAGTAAGATAACAGCATTACTATTAGTGCAAATTCAAATTTCTAGATGAATTTATATCAGCCATCCCCATGCCATGCATGCATTTGCTGCCAAGAAATACTTGAATGACAGAGCTTCCTGGCAGAATTATTTGCAGGGTTTTAGTCTTTTAATCTAGGAAAGATGCATGCCACATATCCTGCCAGTCAGCAAAGAAAAGAAAATGTGATTTAACCAGCAAGTCACATCGAACTAACACAGATCTTCAAAAGACCATTAACAATCAAATGTAAATGCTAACAAGCATATACGTATTTTGTGATGAGAAAAAGATACATTTTACACAGTAAATTATCATTGTTGAAGGCTTCAGTCCTAAATTTTTTGATAATTCAAAGTTAATTAATTTGTGACTAAGCTTATTAAACATGTTTCCTTTTTTCCTTTAATTTTGGTTGCTAGTTTCAAGAACCATGTCTTTTTACTCGCCTGCCAAGTCAGTTTTTGTGTTGGGCAATCCCCCTAGTTCTTTATTCTTATTTACAAGCTCAGTAAGTACAGTCATCAATAAAAATGCTATAACTTGATGAGCAGTAAAAAAAAAGGACCCAAACGTAAAGAAAAACCTGTCCAAGGCAAACATACCTTCTTTTAAACTTGTAATTAATCAAATACTTCTTATCACAAAAAGCAAGAGAGTGTAAGAAAAGTTTCTCAGTGAATTCCAATGACCCCAGTAGACTTTCACCATAATGCCAAAAACCAGTCCTTTCAGCACATAAAGTTCTTTCAGGTACCGTGGACATGCCTATACAATTTCAGGTAGAAAGGAATGCCCTTTCCAAAATGTACAGTTCTTTGGCTCTGAAAGGGGTCTTTTTGAACAGCAAATTTTTGAAAGCAAAATTTTATACAATATTTTTATATGTTTCCCAGAGTGATGAGTCTTTACATGTTAACTAAATTTTGGAAATAAATTATTTCAAAGACAGCCCTTCCTTCAGGGTTTTGTAGATTGCCTGCAGCACTTGTTTCACTGTATAAGTGATATAAATTACAATCTACATTACTGCGTATAGTGTAATATATCTAAACCTCAAAATGCATTAAGGTTTTACCAGAAGCACAGAGAGAAAATCTTGCCAGGGAACCTCTGAATTCCTGTCATTACAAGATGGGTCACAAGTGTTAGGAAATGTTGCAAGTAGAGAATAACTAAGAAGATTCCAGAGTTTCACACAATGAAATTATTTCCTTTACTGTGGCTTAGACATATTAAATAAGACATTTTTCCACAGCTAGCAAATTTAGGGAGTCCTAGAAAAATGAGGTTTGACAAGTTCTGCAGAATCTGAAGAAAAAGGAATTTGTCACCAAGAGAATGAAGGAATGTAACATTGTCCTGATTATGAATAGATTAACAATGGGAAGAGCAGACAGAAGCCCAGAAACCAAAGCGCTGCTTGCTGCACAGCAAAGACACAATGCCATCAGAAGGGAGGCAAGGCATATTTTGTCCCCAGGTTTGTCTAACCCTGATACTGAGGAAATGGACTGGGATGACAGCTTAACCCCCGCTAGGCTTGTTTCATACTTCATTCTGTTGCTCTTACAGAGACCCTAAATGATGATACCATTGCTTTCAAAATGAGCCTTCTGTGAGCAGCACAGACATGACTATTCTACACTGTGTTCAGGAGGAATTGTGCCAATTCCCTGTAGCCAGCAGTCTGCCCCAGTGGCTTTGGGCTCTCGATTTCAGTAGCCTTGTGCCCCTCTAGCCACAACACACCACAACTGCACATATAGATGGAAGATGATAACTGGAGGTTTCTCAAAACTGAAAACATGCTGGCCCTGATTTTGGAAAGAAATGCATGTTTGCCTTAATGTCAGTACAACTAAATTGATCATCTGATTGCTTATACTTGTCTTTGTTTTCCTTCTTTCTAAGAGAAAGTTCCCTCATATGGGTGCACCTGCAAAGGTGCCAGGAGTCTTCCCTTCCCTGTTAACAGCCTTTTTCTTCCACTTGTTTCTCCATTTTCCTCTGTTTTGTTCCAGTTACTTGATACCTTTATATCTGCTTAAAATCCAAGCTTGGAAGTTGTAGTTCTGCTCATGGCTGAGCAGTACCTCTTCGCAAGCTAGCACAAAACAAGTTTAAAAATTTATTTATTTTTAAGTAAGGTACAGTACAGACAATCCACTGCTCCCTAATCACTTTAACACCCAGATTAGTAATAGAAGTCATGAGCCTCAGGCTCCTTACTAGTTACAAATAAAACTGGCAGGGAAGTAACTGAAAAGAAATGCTGGAACAATGAACAGTATCTATTGTTTCTTGTCCTTAGCATACAGCTACCTATGAACTTCATTCAAAGGAAACTGCTGTCAAATAAATAGAATTAATGAGAGATAATAAAAGTTGTCATTCTTGAAAGAAGAAGTGGTGCAAAGGGTAAGAAGTTATTGTGAAGAAAATAGAAGTAGAGTGTTATCAAAGAAAAAAAATTCTCAACCTGCACTTTATCAAGGATCATTTCTTTTTATGGTCCTAGTTTCTTTTACTGATAAGAATTTAAATGCCATTTTTAAGTCCTAAAAATGCATTCTGTTATGCTAGACTGCCTTCATGTTTGGAGTATTTGCTAAGAGGACAAAGAAAATTTCGAAGTGAGTATAGCATACACTACTCCAGCTGTGAGAGCTACTTGATAGTGATAACAGCAGTCCAATAGAAGGAAAAACCCAAATTGTATGAATTATTTAAAATTAGAAGGAACAAAATCCTACAAACTTACTGCATGCAGTAGCAGGATGATAGCTTAGAAAAGAATGCTGTAATATATGGTATCTGAGTAACTAATATACATAAGAACATAGTCTTTCTAAAATATCAAGATGCTTATGATATCTTAGATAAGGTAGTACCACTGGACAACTGATGTCTTAAACCAATTATGAAGCTACAGCTGTTAATTTGTGACTGAGTTTGAGTGAGGAACGTAGGATTTTTTGTTTAAACTAGAATTTCCTCTTAGGAGTGCTATTCATTGCTGTTGCTGCTGATCATAATCTTTCTTAGATCTATTTGCATACAGCTCAAATGCAGTTTAACCTGGACACAAACACAAATACAGTGCTCTCAAATAGAATTGAAAAGGCAGACACAAATCATAGAAATGATACTTCATTTCAGATGAAGATATATAAATTAGGGAAGACTCCTGTCACACAAAAAATGTTCACCATAGATCATAGATGCTCTTACTGTCCTAAGAGGAGAATATGACAGATAAAACTAATCTCATATACTGAATGATAATCATTATCCAATGGTCACTAATGAGCTTCATTTTAGGAAACCTCTGGGGTCTACATAAAAAGGGATCTTTTTCTCGATCAGAGGCCTGAATTTGCTGCTTGCACGTAATTTAATACTTGCATACATCATTATATATCTTTAGCAACAGCAACGTTTCAGTAGTAGTAATTTCTGTACTTCAACAAAAAAAAAAACCAGAAGCTGAAGAAACAGGACAAACAAGTGAACAGAAGAACTAAAATAAACAAAACATATGGTTATGAGTCACTGTAAATTCTTTAATCTGTGTTGACAAAGATTATGATGACTAAATACTATGAGTCCATGAAACTCATGGCAGTAGACCTGTATAGCAACTTACAATAGATATTCTAAAATTTTAAATTCTATGAAAATTAAGCCATTTACTAGATCTGAAAATTAAGAGGGGTGCACTAAGAATTTGCAGGCAGAACTGTCTTTCTCACACAAATAGACTGTCTCCCAGCACCCAAGTAGCTAAATACATCATATATCATGCTCTTTTTTGGGCAGCAACACTGGAAGGTTACTGACACCCTCCAATATATATGCTACAAAATTGACTTCACGGGCAGCTTTAATTTGCTCTGCTCAGGAAAGAAATTTGGAGTTTAATTTTCACTGTGAAGAATGACTGAGCATGGCCAGCACAAATGTACTCCCCTGCTATAAGAAAAGATGTTTCTAAAATAGCACTGGTAATTATCATAACAAGGAATGAACTCATGATGCCAGTTAGAATTTGATGGTTCCCTAGAGATTCTGACTTTCTTTTGAAAAGTTTCGTTTTGTTAATCAGTTAACCTATGTTGTAATATCTTGTGCAGATCCACAGGTTTTGTCAGTGTTATAGCAAGAAAGACTTTGATCTACACCCTGGATTGAGTATTTGGACAAAACCAATTTTAGTGTCAATTATTGAATACTATGGGGGATGTCTGTAGCCTCTAGAGCAATTAGCTCAAGGCATATCAAAATTAAATATATATAAGGGAAGCAGTATTAAAAAGCAATATCTCAAATCTCTCTGCATTAACATTTTGGACACCACTACACATTGTAGGGGTTTTTATGATTAAACTTACATCTTTATTTCCTATTTTCAGCTGTTACTCCCTATAATCTATAATCAACAAAAACATCAAATGGGAACAAGACATCAATCAGTAATTCTGACAATCTACAGATTGATCTCCACACAAGCATGACCTCGTGTTATTAACACCAGCTTTGCCATGTCATAGCACATCACACATGAGACGGGACTGGAAAAGGTATCGAGGCAAATCTGTTACCTGGCTGATGGGTTTTTGCTTTTCCACCAGTGACTGATGAAATCGTAGATCCAGAAGATGAGGCTTCCATTTTTATTGACCCTCTGGCTTGTGGGATTGAGGGATGCCCATCCACAGGTGGATGCTGTGACACTGGGTAGCTTGCTGCAGTTCTCCTCTGACAGACTTGCACACGCTTTTCAGCCCCATGAATAGATAAATTTATACCTGACAGGAATAAGAATTAGTTCTGTTAGATACAAGAGATCAACATGGAATAATTAAAGTATAAAATGTTGGGCTTTAAAATGGAGCTGAAAACATCTTCTTAAAGAAAAAAAAAAAAAGATAACTCTAAAATATTAATTTTCTTTGAAAATTAAAAATGTGAACACCTTTTCTGCTCAGTGTAGACATCAGATTCAGTCACAGCAATAGATATTTAAATTAATACACTGTCATGGTTTACCATTTTACTGGTCTACAGGAGGAAATGTCTTCCATTCCCTCAAAATATCCACACAGCTGACAAAGGACAATATTAATGATGGAGCTATCACACAGTTTATTAAATGACAGTTTTCTGATTGATGGATTAGAACTTGTCAAAAATTATTTCTTTTCTTCTGAGCCTTTACCTATACTAGGAAGTCTCATATGGAAAAGATGCTACAAGTGAGGTATTAACTAGCTTTTAAGGAAAAAAATAAAGATCTGTTTTAAGGAAAGCAGTAAGGCTTCACATGGCAATAAAAAAACCTTAAGCTTGGAAAAATAATCCACTTTCTCTTGTCTTGTGAAACCTTATCATCAATACTGGAAATCGTCTTTCACACCAAAATTCTCAAATTTGTCACAATCATTTTTTGTACTGAAATTGTGATTAAAAAACAGGCCTCATTTTTCCAAAGAGAAAAGCAAAGATGAAATTTCCTATGTTGCTAATGCAGTCTTAGAAAGATATGCTATCTTACAGTAAATTGCTGATTCTGGCTTCCTCCTGTTCACATTGATGCAATTGCTCCAACTCTACTTGAATTGCTTTCAGCATACTCTGGATGAAAACCATCAGACAATCTCTTTTGGGCAAAAAAGCTGAATGATAGTTCTACACTACTGGGTTTTTTTGCTTAATTTAGTTGTGACTATTATTGCTTCTGTCAGCAAACTAATTTTGTTTTTAAAAAGAACAAATGAAACACCCTAACCAGATATAAATAAGCAAACTAAAAAGCATATGGAAAAGTAGACCCTAACAACTGAAAATGTAGATATTGTGAGCACATTGTAAAGTGCAGTCAACCAAAATCGTTGTATATTATTGATTAGATTGCTCAGTTTTGTGAACTGAAATGTCCAAGAATCCATTAATGACTCTGCTCTTCCAGCTCCCTTGGAAGTCAATGTATGTGAACCTCCAGGTCATGGAAGAGGTTTAGAATCTCTGCAATATTAATACACTTTGATCCATAATATACTACCAAGGGGAAGAGAGCTACCACTTCCATAGGCAATTTGTGGAAAGAGTGGGGTTGCAGACAGGACCAAAGGCTGCACAAACTGCTTTCTTTTACATTGCTTTGTGCATTCAGAATCGAAGCTGTGCACTCAATACTTGCCTGTGCTTCTTGACTCCAGAGCTGATCTCCTGCAGGAAATGTGAAGGCATGCAGAGTTTCCTGCAGCAGCTGCTCACCTACTTCCTGGTTTTAGGGCTAATGCAACTGCCAGCTTCTGAAGACTGTTGAAATCACATCCTTAGGATACAGAGCAAATCCCAGTCACCCTATTCTTGAGAAAGGCAGCATACCAATCCATGTGAACAGAATGACAATGAGCTTGCCTTCTTTGACCATGCTAACTGTAAGGGGATTCAAAGAGTGAGAAGCTAAGCCCCAGCTGTAAAATTAGTTCCTTACTTCTTTTGCAGTCACTAGGACATTGTGATGGCCAAAATACTGGGCAATTATCCCTAAGGTATCAAAAAATTAACTAGAACCATTTTCTTTAAGCATCAGCACAGGTTGTTGCCTCATTTAAAGCAATCATCTCTCCTAAGTTTACAGTGGAATCAGTCAGTGCTCAGCACTAAACTTGAGCCTGTCATCAACACACACTTTCTAGCTGGATCTCAGTAAGGCTGTGCTTTCACTTGGTCATGAAAATAGGGATCTATTTTAGGAACTGGTTCCAAACATAAACTCACTGCTACATTACTCGGAGGTTCAAGTTAAGCTGCTTCTTCACATTCTGAAAATGGTCTATAAACTCTTGTGCAGCTGTGACTGAGCTTCCTAAACTATTTCTGCAGCACATGTTTTGTTTTTTTTTTTTCAGACATCAAAATAAAGGATACTGCTTCCAGATTGCTATTCCTGAGAACTGCAGAATTTGCAGATTGATCACATCCAAAATTAGGTTCCATCAACAACTTGCTGCTGGTTATATTTGCTTCTTCTACTAAAGAAGGATGATAAATCATACTTCCAAACTACATGAGAAAGAATGTTCCAGCATCACTGAAAACTTTACATTTACAATTTTCTTTAGACATATTTAAAAGTGCCCAAAACCAACCACACAAATGGTGTCACAAATGTACACAATATATTTGGAAATTATTCACTCCAATCTCATTGGTGCTGCAGTTATATTTTTCACAGAAGATATCCTTTTATTAAGAGAATTAATTTCTATTATTTTCCCAAGAACAGGTACAGGACAAAGATGCAAGTGTCCTTTTTTAATTATAATTTCAGGTTTTTCCAGAGAAAGATCAGGTCTTGCTTTTCTAGGTGCGTTTCTTTTGTTAAACTACAGGTCTAAAAAAATGTAAGACAGTAATAATGCAGCAAGCTGCAGCATTACCTTGTTTCCATGTGGGCGAAAGTTCTTTTAAAAGAGATATTGGCAGTTGAAGATACATCCCCAGATAACGTGCAGAAAAGCACAGACAAAGGGCAGGGGAATCAGAAGTAGAAAAGAGATTGGGAACAATGCATGTGGCTTATGGCAGATGAAAACCTGGTGAACTATTGGCACTAAGCAGACTCTAGAGTAAACTCTCCTTATTCTTCCTGCAAATAACCCACGCTGCTGATTAATCCCAGGGTTTGTGTACCAGAGATGTGAGAAAACAGCAAAGAGGTCTCTGAGGAGTAGATGTTAAAAGTTAACATCAACTACTCTTTTGCAGTGTGACAATACCCACACAAGACATCTAGAAAGAAGGAGTTCTCCAGCAGCACACTGTAGTCTCGGTCTGCAACAAACTGTATTTGGTGGAGTTTTTCTCCTCCCTTTAGGCTTGGCCATATAGGTGCTGACACCAAAATCCCCCTCCCATTGCATGCCTGGCTGTATGGCCTTTGGTTGTACCTGTCCCTGCAGCAGGGTGATTTTAAATCAGCTTGGCATTCATATTCAGTAGCTGGGTACAAGCACACTGATATGCTCTGACAAGTAACATAGAAGTTAAAAAATATCAGGGGTTTCTCCTGTCTTGCCCTCTGGCTCAATGTAATGGCTCATGAGCACCACTTTGAGTCAGGGCTTTGGTGCAAATTCAAGTGAAAGACTTAAACACTGTCCTGCATCCAGAGCTAACCTTTCAATTTGAGTACTGGCTTCTGGACAGGGCTCAGCTATCTGCACCTGGCTGGCTGCAGTAAGAGGGGGAAGTAGTTCAGTGTTTTGAAGCTGGATGAGATTTGAACCTCTAAGTATTGTACACATCACTCTGCTCTCTTCTTTTCCTGCATGTAGCAAAAATCCTTCTCTTTATTTTCAAATCCTAATGTGCCTTTCTCTTCCTTAACCATATTTCTTTTTCTCATACAATCTTTTTGACTCCATGAGGAGCTGCTCTTCTTACTGACCTTTTGTTCTCTCATGACTCTGAGCTTGGAGGTTCATGTAAGACAAACACCTTCAGTACCTTCTTGCCAATGCATCTCATCTGAGCACTTTGCCAGCACAGAAAGGCAGCTTCTATCCTGCTTCTGGATAACTTTTATTATAGATTTTTTCAAACGATCAATCCTTCCACATTGAGCATATTTTTCTCTTATAAAGTGGTGATATACTTATGACACTTAGGGATATATAATGCTCCAGATAAAACCTGCATATGAGAACACTAAAAGGGAGTAATTAAGTACTTCCAAGTCATGAAGCAATAAAACCATAACATAAAGAAGAAAAAGGAAGAAGAAATTATTAAAGTTCAAAACACTACAGTATGCCTGCATGCAAAGTTTTGTGTGATGGATATTTGTTTTGTTGGCTCATCAGATGCTACAAAGATGAACAACATCCTGCATTACTCAGAAATCACTCTGCCAATGCATCTGATGGACATCTGCTTTGGTTGTGTGCCGCCCTGAAAACTCAGCTTCTGAGCTTGCTAACATAGTTTTCTAAGGACTTTCCCAGGACAGTAACTGTAAACATAGATATGTGTACATTCTTTCTGTTACACGTCTTGTGATGGGCATCTCTCATGGCCAGTGCAGTGAGAAAGTGTTATCCTGACCATCCAATCCCTGGCCGTGGTAAGAAGCCTATAAATCCTGGGGGGAAAAATAAACTCGTTCTTCTTTTCACCACACCTCGACCTGCGTCCGTGTGATCTATTCATCTTCAGCGGTAACAGTTGTGCACCATGCACCTCTTCTTATGTGACTGAGCACCATGGCATGGCTCTGATGCTGGTGGAGAAGACTCTTGCACTTGAAGTTGGATCAGAAAGGCCATGTGTCCAAATTATACTGGGCAGGGATTGAGACATCTCTCCACCTGAGAAGGCATCACCATAGTGGCTGTCAGGCTGGTGTCAGCCCCAGTTTTTTTCCATCTTGTACCACTTTGGATTACAGGCATTTATTTATAGGTTCCTTTCTGAAGTCTTTGTCTCTAGACAGAGATTACATGAACATGAATAGGCAATAATAATACAGTGCAGAGTTACAAAGTTGTACAAATAATCCATTAGCTAACAGTGCTTGATTAGCCTCAAGTGAGCTGACCTGCTTTGTAGATCTTCCCTGGGATAACAAAGTAGTTCTGGCAGGAAGTCCTTTCAGTTTTTGT